TTTTTATCATTTAATTGTTTTATTTAAATTTGATAGAAAATTGAATATTTGAAGATGTACATTATACTGTACAAAAGTAATACAAGAGTAATATATTTCTGTTACATGTTAAACCGTACTTTTATTTTGACAGGTTGCCATGAAGTTTCTGTGTGTATACAGTATGATGATGCTAGTTTTCTCAAATGAAACGGTAAAATTCTCGCGAAGTGACTCTCACAGCAGCTCTGGAGATTATGTTTTTGTGTTCATGCCGTCATACAGTGAGACGCAGAGGCCGAAAATCACCGCGAGCGTCACGCGTGCTTCAGTATATGTGTAGTAAACAAAACCGCGTTTCCGCCATTCATACATACAGAGGCAAGCGGAACATGCAGGATTCATATTTAAACCATCTTTTTGCATTTTAATATTCACAGAGACTAGTTCATATCGTGATTAGAATTAAGTGGCAGTGGCTACTTTTGATTTATGCGTCCAAAATTGACGAATTCCGTGGCATTCCACGCTATAGAGTAAATTAAGTTTTTATGAATGGACTCCACGGTCCCGTCCGCGTTTTCGCAGAAACCATATGGCCCTAGAAATGTAACCACACTTCAGAACATTTCGGCTTGCCCTGTGTGTTGTTTGAACGAGTTGCAGGGGTGACATCATGTCACAGGGTCTCTTTCTCTCTCTGTAGCGTATGCGCCCAGATGCGTTCTCAGGTACCGAAATTTGGCACCGATTGATTTAACGTGAATCGGTACACGGTAGTACCGACGCAATTCGGTCAGTACCCTTAAAAGTACCGAGTTCAGTACCCAACCCTAACACACACACATATATATATTTATATATGAGATCAGATTTCATCACTTACAAAATGACAGCGCAGAAAAGACTGTTGAGAAAAGACTGCTAAAGACTGGATTTGAAAAACAAATCGGATTTATGCACAGTTTGAATAAAGTCTTTGATGTGTGACTTGACAAAATGGGCCACAGCTGAGAATGTTGGCGGTTTTAAGGGGGATGCACTTTTAATGAGAGTTTTATGTTAATTATGTACTGCAACTTTGGAGGTGATCTGAGGGCACATTACAGAGGGAGGAAATCTCAGCAAGCTGTTACATGGCAGAGCTTTAAATGAACAGTGCATACATCTGACATCGTAAAGAGATGATATGGCCATGAAATGGGGCATTATCTCTATGATGGTACATGATGAACACATTATCTGATTAGTCCCAGAGGAAAAAGAGTTTTAAGCACACTAAAGGAACATACTGACAATGACAGAGCAGGGGTATAACATGTTGTCAGATGAGACATCTCTTAGACACGAAGATTGTAGCATTTGCAAATTTTTTGAATTAAAAAAAAAATATTCAAGGACATTAAGTTGATCAAAAGTAAGTAAAATTAATTTTACAGTGTTACAAATAATTTCACCCCACTGTGCAATAAAACGTGCAATCCACAACTGTCTATACTTATATTATACGTATGTTAGTGACTTAATATATCTTACATCTACCCACATTCCCTTGCATAATTTGTCTATAGCACTGTACATACAATATACTGTTCACTGTCTCTTTATCTATTGTGTATTGTTTTTACATATTTATTTTTACTCAATTATTTTTCTTTTTTGTTATCTGCGTCTTGTCTCTTGTCAACCTGTCTGTGTACTGTAAGCTTCTGTCACCAAGAAAAATTCCTTGTGTGTAAGCACACTTGGCAATAAAACTCTTTCTGATTCTGATTCTATAAAAAAAAAATGCTGTTCTTCTGAACTTTCATTAAAGAATCGAAAAAAAAAATTTTTTATCATGGTTTCCACAAAAATATTAAGCAGCACAGCTGTTTTCAACATTGATAATAAGAAGAAATGTTTCTTAAGCAGAAAATCAGCATATTAGAATGATTTCTGAAGGATCATGTGACACTGAAGACTGGAGTAATGACCGCTGAAAATTCAGCTTTGCCATCACAGGAATAAATTACATTTTAAAATATTTGAAAATATAAAACCGTTATTTAAAAATTTTAATAACATTTCATAATATTACTATTTTACTATATTATGATCAAATAAATGCAGCCTTGGTGAACATAAGAGACTTTCAAAGTCTGCTTACTTTAAAAGCAATTCTTATTCAATTTGAAAAATATCTGTTTTCCACTTTCATTTCATGTAGGGTTAATGAAGTGCCTTCTCTAGTGCAGCTCAACCAGGTCTCGTCCCATTCGT